TATATATATATATATATATATAATAATGGATTTTTATTATCATTATATAATATTATATATTGTAATACATATAATATATATTATAAGATATATATTATATATATTAATATATAGAGAGGGGGAGAAAGATCGGGTAGAGCCCGATCGAGCTAGGTCGGAGGCGGAAGGATCACGCACGGCGGGGCTCGGGTCAACCGGCGGCTTCAGGGTTGGGCTGGCGGTGTCGGCTCAGGCGAGAGGTCGGAGGAGGAGCAAAGTCGGACGGCAATGAAAGAGCCGAATAGGCCTCACGTGCAATTTCTCTACCTCCTCTTGCGAAGGAACGAAGTCGGTCGGCCAAGGAAAGTCGGATGGCAATAAGGAGTCGAAGGAACTGCTTGTACGATCCCTCCTCTCTTGCGAATCGAAGCCAAACAGCAACGACGAACAGAGAAGACGAAAGGCGAAGCCTAGTCGAATAGCAACGATCGAATGAAAGTTAGAGCGAACAAGCAAATGTGCGTATCTCCTTTTTTTCTTTCGAATTCCATCGTTTTATCATTTTGAATTACCGACTCTCCGAAGAGACGCGTTGTCTGGCTAAGTGGGGTCGGCAGAGGAGGTTATTTTTCATCAGTTCAGTATTATCTTTATTGATTTTTTTTGTTAGTCAACAAATTTCCTCCCAACGAATTTGTTGTGTGACTTTCACACAATTAATTCGTTGTAATATCTTTGGATATTTATCATTTGGTTCAACACTATTCCTTTATCTTTTCTTTCAATCACTTAGATTGGTTTAAGTAGCTCGACTCTTAGGTTTGTGAGCATATGAGATTTCAAAGTTCGGCCCTTTAGGCTTGTTGAACCTCGTGGGTTTAGCTTGACCTTTAGGTTTATGAGCATAGAAGATTTTGGAGGTTCGGCCTTTAGGCTTGTTGAACCAATGGGTTTTAGCTCAGCCCTTAGGTTTATGAGCATTAAAGATTTCAAAGTTCGGCCCTTAGGCTTATTGAACTTCATGGATTTAGCTCGACCCTTAGGTTTATGAGCTTAGAAGATTTTGAAGTTCGGTCTTTAGGCTTGTTGAACTTCAGGGATTTAGCTCGACCTTTAGGTTTATGAGCTTAGAAGATTTCAATGTTCGGCCCTTAGGCTTGTTAAACTTTGTGGATTTAGCTCGACCCTTAGGTTTATGAGCGTAAAAGATTTCAAAATTCGGTCCTTAGGATTGTTGAACTTTGTGGATTTAGCTCGACCCTTAGGTTTATGAGCATATCAGATTTACAATGTTCGGCCTTAGGCTTGTTGAACTTTATGGATTTAGCTCAATCCTTAGGTTTATAAGCATATAAAAGTTCTACCCTTAGGCTTGTTGAACTTCGTGTATTTTTGCTCGACCCTAAGGTTTTATGAGCATAAAAGATTATAAAGTTCGGCCTTTAGGCTTGTTAAACTTTGTGGATTTAGCTCGACCCTTAGGTTTATGAGCGTAAAAGATTTCAAAGTTCAGCCCTTAGGCTTGTTGAACTTTGTGGATTTAGCTCGACCCTTAGGTTTATTAGCATAGAAGATTTCAAAGGTTCGACCCTTAGGCTTATTGAACCGATGAGTTTTAGCTCAAAAAATTTGGGGCCCTGCCCCATATTTTTGATTGCATCATTTCTTCTCTTGTTTATTTGGGTGTGACCTGGACTTGTGATACGATAGGCTCTTAGTATAAAACAAATTTTCTACCCCTTAAATTGTAAGAAACCTAAAATCAATTTAGACTTCATGTCTTTTAAATAAGAAAATTGCATGACTCCCTTTCAAGGAGCTAAGTTTTCCAAAAATTTAAATTGAGCATGCATAGCCCCCAAATGTGTCTCATATAAAAAAACCCTCACTTACGGATTAGATAACAAAAATCTGTATTTGTGAGTCTGCATTCTGCTTCCATTTATACATAGACATCTTGACCTCAAAGCCAAGTTGTAAGCCCTACTTCCCAAATAAAAACAACCCTCCACTCTACATTTGCATTAAGACCAGATGATATAATTTTAAAATCGATTAGGTGGGTTTAGCTGAATAGTCCTTTCCAGAAAGGACAATAAATTCAGAGGTCGGGCTGGTTATGCCTCATGTGAGGTGTAGCTTATAAGTCCTTTTGCATTCCGTTAGACTTAGGTTCGAGGCACTACCTATCGGTAGTCCTCACCTTAGTTTTAGGATCCGATATATTGGTTGATTCCAAATTATTATATAAGCCCTCACCTTCTGGGCAATTCCTTCAACAAGTGTTGTTGGGATGTAAGCCCCAACATTCTAATAAAAATATCAACTTAAACAAAATTAGACTTCTAAAATGTAAAGCCCAACATAGGGTACTCTGAGCACTTCTGAAATTTCTCAGAATCAAGTGCTCCTACTTCACCTCCCTTGGCTCTCATTCCAAAATCTAATTCTAAGTTGATATTTTCACCTCATTAAAATTCCTAAAGGCCAAAATCTTTTAAACAAGACTTTCATGGATTTTCAAAAAAAAAAAAAAAACTTTAACAACCATTAAGTACAAAAACTTTAGCCAATATTTGAATGACCCTCAAAATAAGAAAACCACTAATTTAATCAAAAGTCTTCTCAAGTCAAAAATTGAGATGTAATTAACCATAGGGGCTTGCCCCTATGGAACGTCTATACCCCAGAAATAAATAAATCCCATTCGACCAAAATATCGAATGGGGGAATCTCTGTTAAAATTGTAAATTTTATCATTGAGTCCATAAGGAAATGATATTTTTACCCTCTGGGGTAATATATCATGTTCTTATGCCATACTCGATCATAAAATATGCAATCCGTTTGAGGACCACAAAAATTCTCTAACAGGTACATGCAAATTTGTGAGTGAAGAGTGAATGCGAGCTTACGTTGCTAAAGCATTAACTAAGTGTTACAAGTAGAGGAAGTCGATGGTTTGCATGGGCTATGTTGGAAGTCATAGAATCGAGAAGGCACTCCTGCGCGTGAGTCAAAAGAATTTGAAATCGAGAGAATAGAGCCAAATCACATGAGAGAAAGGGAAATAAAACAAAGGAAGAATACTAAAAAAGAGGCAATCCTACGTCAATGTAACCAAGATAAGAGGCATAGGTTGGTGAGTTGACAGTGATGAAGAAATCCTAATCAGCTGATAAGGGAGCCAAGTAGATTATGATATTAGCTAAGCAAATAAGTCAATGTGTGAGAAGCAACAATTAAGCGAGTCAATGAGGTGGATGGAGCAAGATTATGCCACTGAAATGGGAAAGGGAGTCATTTTACTATGCAAATCTCGTGACTCATGCACGTTTCTTTGTGTTGAATTTCTGTTGAATCTCATATATTGCACTATAGTAGAAATCAAACAGTAACTTTTAGTAGCTATAATACTATAGCAATATCCGGGAAGTTTTTTTTTTTTTTTTTGATATGGGTGACTTAGTAAGTTTATATTTTGCAATATTCTTGAATCAAAAGTTACAATTTTTGATTAGATATTCGGGATTTTGAGAGAACTATGTTTTGTAGATTTTTTAATGAATAATATCTTTAAGACAAAATAATCTGCATAATACAATCCCAGATTTCCTCCAAAAAATGTGTATTATTTAATGCAAATACTTAAGAGTGTCATGAAGTTCGAAAGTTCAATGAGTGGCTTCTCCTATACTGGCATCAGGCCTAATATTATATTTGGTAACTTCTATCAATGGTTTTTTTCATCCACATACTTTGTGAATGGATTTACAGCCAGCAATCCTTTTCGTGGTATAGCTCCTAATCATGTATGGTTTTATTTCGTTCTCAAAATTTTTACTAAATTTTAAATTTTAGATTATCTTAAAGTTATTATTTAGAGCGAATTTTGATTGTTTTTTAAATTACATCAAAAGAAACAACTTTACCTAAACTAATAGTTAGTGGAATATAAATTTTGACCTTCTATGTGGTTATTTTGTGCATCACATCCTAGATATGTAGCAATAAACCCTAGACCTAAAAATGCCCAAACCGATAGCACATCACCCTTATCTGCACTCATCTTATTCTCTTCTGGTTCATTTGTTTAATTGTTTAATGACCATTTACTTTTTCAACAACCTCAATTATACTCTCCATTACTAATTGTTTTGTACATTATATTAACATCATACTTATTAGGCTTTTTACATAAGCAAATAAAATAAGATTCTCATATTTATTTAGTAAATTAAAATAATGAAAAATAATAATTTTAATTAAATATCACCATTATCTGTATTCTGCTTGTTCTCTTCTGGTTCATATATTTAATTATTTTATATGAGCATTTTCTTTTTCAACTTTCTGAGTTATGATGTTTATTACTAAAAATTTTCATGTCGTCGTTTTGTACATTATATTAACATCATACTTATTAAGCCTTATGCATAAGCAAATAAAAGTGATATGATTCTCAATTCTCATTTTTATTTTAGAAATTAAAATTCTCTAATCTCTTGCTTTTCACCTTTTGAAGGTAAGCATCCAATCTCTTTGCCTTCCACTTTGTTGGTGCCTTATTTATCAATAACACAGAATTTTGAGGAAAACAAAACGTACCTGGTGTTGAATACCAAAGTCAAGTGATGCAATTACTTGAGCGAAAGCCTCCTTTGTCAACAAAACAACCTTCTCAGGGTACACTTCCAGCATATGCGATATAAGCCGAAAATACTGCTACCAGAAGGACAGTAAGAAAAAAATTTGTCTTAGAACTACTCATTTCCTAATAAATAAATAAAAAAATGGCCAAAATAATCCATTGACTTTTTAGGAAGGGTCAAACCCTAAATACATTAAAAGACTATTTTTGTCCCTCAAGTTTTTAAAAAGGAACTAAAATAGCCCCATCGTGCGGCTATTTTGATTCCTCTTTAAGGAGTTGAAGGACCAAAATAGCCCTTAAATATAATTGGGATTATTTTGGCCCTTCATAAAGAGAATGGACCACTTTGATTATTTTCTCTAAATAAAAATGAACATTGAACTTACACAACTGCTGAGCTTGGGAAATTTTAGAAGATCAAATGAAATTAAAGGGCTGACGATGTGCAGACCAACAAAGACGACCTGAACAAGAGATAAATAAGTAACTTCCTCACTGGTTTTATTATGAATACCTTAGAACTCTTACCTCAGCAATATCTGGGCTACCTGTTTCATCCGGAGAAAAGTCAATCTGCATTAAAACATTGAGATAATTGATCATAAAAAATCACTCATAAAACCAGCGGCTGATGATGGGAACATCTCATACCAAATCTTTGGAACACAGATTCGTGAGGAGCTGAAGCAAAGCAAGCAAATCCTTATAATCCTCAACTTGAGCCCCACCCAATAGGGTGGATGAATGAGACAATGATAGCTTTTCAGGTAAAAGTAGATTTAAGTCAGAAAAAGTACTTCTAATGCTCACCATGTGCAGTAAAACATTATGTAAAGATGTAAAGCATGGACCAGAAACAATGTACAACAATATCATGCATATGCTAGTTGCTACAGAATGCTAAAGAACTACAAAACAAAAGGACTTACTTTCCCAATATTTTGGGATGAGTAAGCTTGAAGCAGCTGCAGGCAGAAGCTAACTAAAACAGAGGTATCTTTAGCATTAAGGAATGCAATTTGTCCATCAACAAAGTCAACCGAGAACTTTATTATCAGGTACACAACTGACGGCTATAAATCATACATAAAAAAAAGAAAGATAAATCATAGCAAGAAATTAGCAAAGTCCAATAATCAACAGAACAAGGATGTCCCACAAATTTAAAGTGGACCTAAAGAGAGAGTCATATAAAGAATTGAACCTGATTTTTGTAAGCTTCCAAAAGAGTAATTAGAGGGTTCATTACAGCAACACACACATCAAACAAAGCCTTTTGAGTGCGGGGTTGAGTTGCTCTAGCCACACCTATCAACCTTTCCAACAAACAATTCACCTATACAAATCCCCAAAGTCATTAGTAATAATTGAATAAGACTACTCAGTATACGGTATTTTTTGACAGTCAAAAGCATAAAGAAGAAAAAAAACCCACCGTATACATCGCGTCTGGCAATTGGGCAATATCCTTGAGATCATTCCTAGCAGACATTTCTGCAAGGTATGAAGTCATTGGTCCAATGAGATCCCTCACATACCTAAGAGCATTGACCACTATCTCTAGGTCATAAATTCACATACAAAAATGGATGACAAGGAAAAACATTTAAATTCATTAATCAACTAACTGATTGGAGGCCTCTGCATCTTTGAGGCTGGAAGCTGCACAAACAAGGTTTTCGGCTAGAGAACGCTACAGGAAAATCAATCAGGCAGCCCATTCAGTGTATATTTTACATTTAAAAATAAACAATTATCGTGATGACATACTTGCAGACGGGGATTTAAGGAGAACAAACTTCTTTCATTTGAAAATGCTCGTGCAAGATCAAGCCATGAATCCTGCAAAATGTCTACTTATCACCGAAAGAAAAGTGACCCAAACAACTAAAATTAACCCTAGAGAAAAACAAATTGGGTATCCAAACGCTACAGAGAAAGAAGTTACAATTAACCATTGAATAGAGACTTCTGATTTCAATTGATCACAATGCAACTCAACGAAGATAATCAGCTTTAACACCTAACGTCTCTCACAAATTACAACAAAAGCCACGTAGTTGAGTTGGACAGTTTATCAATCTTAGACACCATTTGTATAGATATTGCAATTTATACGAACAGCCATGTCAAAGTTTTATAGAGCTAAAAAGCATCATCAAATCAAGACACTGAGGTCCAAAATCAACTCAGGGGAGAGGCGATGTGGAGAGTTTTAACAAGTTGGTTCCGGGATAAATTTCAGAAGGCAGATTAAATTTTAAATAAGGCACTGCCCAAAGATTTAGCCCTTATTTTTCGAGGATTTTATGATCTGAGTTCTGATTTCCAATAGGCGCAAGCCCCTACAGTTAATTACCCCCATCGATAATGAGAAAGAACTTTCAATTAAGGCTAGGCGTCAAACATTTTTATTTTATTTTATTTTTTTTCATATAAAAAATAAAGTAAAAAAAAAAGTTTGGCGGCTAGCCTTAATTGAAAATACATAGTATCCAGCATATAATAGCAGCATTATTTAGGTATTTGAGAATTTAATATTTAAACTAAAAAATTTCATCACCTCGTACTTGAAGCAGATGATGGGGGAATGATGATGAGCCCGATAAAAATCACATGGTTCCGTCGTCCCAGGCCATCATGGTCCCTGGTCTACTTAATCAAAAGAGGTAGTCGACCTAACCTGACAAAAGGATCCTTGTAGACAGCCATGTGTTGCTTTGTTCAAGGGTATCTAGTAGAACTGGAGTGAATATTTGTCTAAGGGGACACATTTTAATTCAATTTAGCTACCAGAGAGAATTATGCCCTAATGATTATATTATATTATTCATAACTCAATGATTAAGACTATCTGCATGTCTGTGGATAGCAATGAAGGCGTCTCAAAAAATTTCCCTTGTTCGACAATGAAGGTCGAAATAAGAGAGTTTTTTTTTTCCTTTTTTTTTCTTGAGAAGAACCCTTCTTGGCCAAGCCGAGTTTTTAAAAAAGAAGGGCACGCACGAAAGGACTCAAGGCACGCACAAAGGGACTCAAGCGGGAGCAGCTCACGCTTGCGACTTCCCTTGGTCGACTTTGCTCCTTCGTCGGCTTCTCTCCTTCGTCAACTTCCCTTTTGGTCGGATCGGGAGCAGCTCGAGCTTTCGTCGACTCCCCTTTCGCTCCTTCGACCAAGCCTGGCGGAATCGAAACCTCCGTCTGCGGAAGTAATTAGCAGAACCGAGGCTTCCGTCTGCGGCTGCTCCTTGCAAGATCGAGGGCTCCGGTTGCGGAATTGGGTCGGCGGTTTTTCTTCTGTGGCGATGTCTCCTAGCGTTAGAAGGTTGGATTATTCGGCGATGAAGGCCGGCGGATTGGCTCTGATACCATGTTAATTTGAGAGGTACGAGAGGGAAAAAGCTTGAGTTTTATTGCATGAATTCTTCCCTATATATAAATATATACAAGATATTTAAAAAGGAAACAAATAACTAAACAATAATGAAATATAACTCTTCCTAAATCATCTGCCTATCTATGGAAGGTGTTTCAACGTGATTCATGAGCGTTTCCCACGGATTGCTCTTTGTGACCGTCAGATCCTTTGCACAGGGAACGGTTGGATTTCAACAGTCACAGTTAAACCTTCCACTGGTAACACAACAATAGGCATTCTCTTTACACCAAGTTGCTCTTCTTTATCCCAGTTGTCACAATCAGAACCTCCAAGGTTATCAATTCGAGGGTTTAGTTGTGCTTGATCAACAAAACCTTCAACTCTAGTGTAAAATGAGTGCGCTTTCTCTTAGCGTTGTCATTAACTATTAGAGTTTTCTATAGCAGATCGTAGGCACTTGCATATGCTATAGTCCTCCTATATTTTCCACGATCTTCAATCCCTGCTTCCAGATATTACGTAGCATACGTATTTATGTTCACAGGGACTCAACATCCTCATAGCATATCTACTATCATCGTTGCTGGTTGCCGTTGGCATTTACTACAACTTTTCTATACTTGTTGGTGGATAGCATGTAACATATATTGCGAGGCTCCTACAATGACTCGAAGGTGTTTTCCTCTGTTGCAAATCAATAACTTATACTTGCATGATACTGACGCATTTGCTAAAATCTTGGTTGTTGTTGATTGTATGAACACACTAGTAATTGTTGCATGTTGTACATACATGTCAAGAAATAGCATTATAATTTGACAGTAGATTTTGTGTGTTCGTTACTATGTTGATGTAGGCCACCAGTTGAGCTGAATTCATCACTGGATAAATGCGCATGTCGGCCGACAATTTGTCCTTCAATGCACTTTTGTACATTAGTCATCTGATCTTTGCTCGCAAAGGATCAATACATCTGCTTGCCATCGAGTGAATGTTGACTGTAGGGAGAATCTAACATCTATATGAACTTCCTCACATTTGCTGCATGCTGCAGGTACATGTCAATATATATCATTATCATTTGCAGGTAGGTTTTGCATGTTCGTTAGCATACTATTGTTTTCTCCTAGCCAAGCTATATTCTCCTTCAATCTCTTCATAAATATTAGCTAGTGAACTGCCATATTCATTGCACATTGGTTTTCCAATGTTCGTAAGAGGCCAATACATTTAATTGCATGCTATTATTAACTATTGATTGACTTGCATTCACTGTCAATTTCTTCATGCATATTGGCTAGCGAGTCTCTACATCTATTGTTGTCACTCACTAACAAGTTAAAGTACTTGTTCATCAGCTAGCTGCTATTGACTGGCAGGGTGGCGTACTCATCTGCATAACACATTAACCGCCAAATAATGTTGCATTCATTGCTAACCTTCCCTACACACATTGATTGGTTAATTGCTATATCCGTTATCGTCACTCATAAGCGGATCGACGCACTTGCTTGTCAGTTAACAGCTGTTGACTATAGGGCATTGTTGCTTTCATTGCCTATTGTGCACGAAAGGTCTTTTATCATTGCTTGCAAGTATCACCACTACAATCTACAAGCCGGTTAGTGCTTGCATGATAAGTCTTTTGCTGTTGCAAGTAGGAAATGCTTGTGCTTCGTGCAATCAACTACAACTTTTTCATGTCTGAAGACTTTCCACCATGAGTCCCCTGCTTGTAAATTGATGTTTGTTTGAATAATCAAAACTATTATTCATCATTTGTGATTTGATTATTATTATGCATTTTAAATTGTAGGGTCAAGTTCCCTGTTATTCATTAATATTTTGTTCCCCATCATTCTGTTGCAATTAGGTCCACTACAATTCATTTAAATATTGTGCATTTTAGTTCAAATTTTGGTAGCATCCCAACATCTCCACCATTTAGGGGAAATTTAGAGAGTCTTAGCCTTCCTGCCATGTCAAAAAAGACATGCACGGCCGGTTTAGGTGACACTGCGGCCGTAGTCTTCAATCTCACCATGCCAACAAAGGCGTGCAAGGGTCTTCAGGGGTACCATTTGAAAATACACAATTTTTTTCCTGTAGGCATTGAGGCATGTACACAGGTACCTAGGTTTTGCCCTACCACGCTAAGAAAAGCACACACAAGGCTTACTTGCCTCGTCACAAGCAGCACGACGAGTTTCCTTCCACAATGCTACGAAAAGCATGCATGGATGGTTGCTCGCCACGTTGCAAGCGCCGAGGGAATGATTTGAGGGTTTAGGGAGGAAAGAGAGTGGAGGGGGATAGCATTTATATTTAATTATTAATTATAATTAATTACAATTGATTATATTTTAATCATAATTAAGAATAATTAATTATTATTTATTAATAATAATTAATTATAATTATTTATAATTAAACATAATTAATAGTAATTAAACATAATTAACAATAATATTTAATTAATTAGCTATAATTAACTATAAGTATATATAATTAATCATAGATAATTAAATACTTATAATTAAATATAATTAATAATAAATTATCATAATTAAACATTATTAATAATAATTAATTATGATTAATAATAATTAATCATAATTAATAATGATTCATTCTAATTAGCTATAATTAATTATAATTAATACTAATTAACCAAAATTAATGACGAATAATTATAATTAACTATTATAATTAATAGTAATTAATCATGATTAAAATAACAACAACAAAAAACACATAAAGCCTTTGTCCCACTACGTGGGGACGGCTACATGAATCCTTCTTCGTCATTGTGTCAAGTTAAAAGTCAAATTCTCATTTAAATATAATAAAGAAAGATCATTTCTAATATTTTCTAACCAAGTCTTTTTAGGTCTACCTCTACCTTCTTGAATTCTGTTGATAATATCCCTATTAATTTCACTATTACTCTGAACAATAGATCCAAGATATCTAAAACGTGTACTCTTATTAATGACTTGATCGCCCAAAGTCACAATCCTCTCATTAGGTCTATTGCTACTAAAATTACACTCCATATATTCAGTTTTAGATCTACTTAAGCGAAAACCTTTAGACTCTAAAGTTGACCTCCATAATTCAAGTTTACCTTAAGAGGGATTACCTATATAAGAGGCGAGGGGATGCAGCTTGACTGGCTTGCGGGTGAGGTAGAATGGGGTCGGTATAGGTGCAAACAACGGCTACAGACAGAATAAGAGGGAGATTGACACAGGTTTTGACATGGGAAGTGCAGACGGCTTGCGTGAGTTTGGCGTGTAGAGAAGGATCAAGGGGAGATAGCAGCTGGATGCTACGATTGGCTGCGGAAGAGCTGTAGTCGAAGGCGGGTCATGGGTTTGGGTTCTGTCAGAATCAAAAGTAGCTCGGGACCGGAGCCCTAAATGTCAGGTTTAGCACAGGTCTTTCGGCTATGTGTGGGATTACTAGGCCGTGGCTATATTGAAGTGGGTAGTGGGGTAGAGACGAGCGTAGATTTTCGAAGCTGTGAGAATCGGCAGCTTATGTGGGGAAGAAGAGTTACAGGAGCTTTGGTTACGAGGGAAAAATCAGAGATGAAGCCTCCCGCCTCATCTTCGCTTTATCGATGCTCCCGCCTCATCTTCGCTTTAACGACGAGGGCAGAGGATATCGTACGGAGCCGTGCATAGATCGTGCGAGGATTGTCGCGAAGATGAGGGGTTTGTGGTCGGTTGGAGGCTAGTAAGGGCGTTGAGTTGATTTCAATATATTTTTTTAATTTATTTTGCTTAAGAGGTCAACAATTGTTAATTGAGATAAGCGCAAACATCAAGGGGACTCTTTGCTCATTTTGTTTGACACTAGGAGCATTGCCAATTGATGCTTCTTTCCTTCATTGCTTCATTATAAACTCTAAAATTTATTGTTGCTTCAAATTTCTGCAAACAAAAGAGGGAGTCGTGGCTCATTTTGTAAACTTATTCTTTAGTATTTGGAACCAACTACAAATTAAAGTAAAACTTTAACCCTTAAAATCTATTTTGCTTAAATTATATGTAGGATGTGTTACATTTACTCAAAGTCTTAAACAAGTGTTTTACTTGATCTTTTCAAATTTAATTTAAATGAATTAATATCATTCTACTTGGATTGAAGTTTAGCACTGCAATCTTTAAGTTCATAATGGCAATGATATCAGATCTTTTTTAATTGTACTACATAATCTTACTATTGAAAGTGCTCTCACTCACAAAAATTAAGATATATATATATATATAAGACCAAAGAATGAGAGCTTTGTAATTCAATCATGCCAAGTAAATGCAGAACGTTGTAGCATTGCAAACACCACTTCTCATTCTTCATTTTCCTTTTCAATTTTTTCACCGGTTCTAGATTGGAAAGTATAAGAAAAATAAATAATAAGGAAACACCACAGTATTATTACATTTCAAATTTATATGATCTCACCATGGATAAAAGTCGACTGCAGACATTCCTTCGACGAACAAGTGCTACAAGAAGCTTTTGGCATGTAAGCGCCTAAAATAATTTAAAAGTAATTTTAATGGATCGCACAGCTTAAAGTTAAGCTCAACTCAAAAAAAAAAAGAAAAAAAAAAGAAAACTCTATATAAATGAAAAAAAAAAAATCAAAAGAAAATGAAATTGCAATATATTCTACAGGAGAAAGAAGATGCTAAACCTTCAACAAGAACTACATAATACTTGAATGTTCCACGAACATTAATGACAGTTAAAATGGTGTACACGTGAAAAGAAAGGTCCTAAGAAAATAATTGCATAACGTGAATAATGCAATCAAAAAGCATTTGGCTGCAGTTTGTACCACATAAGAATGGCATAGCCCGATTGCATTGCAACATTTAGTTAAACAAGCATCAGTAAAAGACAAGCACAATGATACGCTATCATATGGTATGCGGAACTACGAAGAGGATTTAATGAAAATTATTGGAAAACAAGTAATTACCAAACGCTTTTGCGTTCTGACAAAGTTATCAACTTCTAGTACACTAAACAAGAAACTTTTAGGATATTATTTCCTACATGCACATGTAATGTGACAAAACATATATTTAAAATGGATGGTCTGAAATCTGGTTCAATACCAATAAAATATAATCTAAAAAAATTTAACAGAAAAATGATCTCATATTTCTTGTTCTGAAGGGTGTCAATACCATTTGAAAGGTCGAGTTCTAATCCAACCTATTCAACCTGGATGCAAATCAGCCTTAAAATAGTCTGAGTTCTAAGCATTTGGTTGCAGTTGGTACCAACTAAGAGTGGCATAATCCGATTGCATTGTGATAGGTTCCACTTGAATATTCCAAGTGATTCCTATCGGATTCTTGCCAAAATACAATTATTCCACTGTTTTCAATAGAAAACAGCCACCAAACAGTAGAAAAAAACTGAGAGAATAAGGAGAAAACGTTGGAAAACAATAGAAACAATTGTATTCCACTAGTAGACGAATAAAACCAAAGCAAGATACAATGTTCTTCGATTCGAGAGGAAGAACCACTCTCCAACAATCTCCGGCAACGCCAAGAGCCCAAACAAGAAAACCTAGAAACCAAAACTCTTCTCCAATTCAAGATGAAACCCTAATCTCCCCTTAACTCCCTATTAATACAATCTAATTCAAAATAAAAGCAAAAGGACTTCTCTACCCTTCCTTCTCCCTCCAAAAGCACTTAACCCAAGTTTGAATTGCAAGTGGACCCCACTCCTTGGCCCCCTCTCTCTTCCGCCCAGCCCTTTGTCCGTCTGCTGTAGACTTGGACCGGCTGGGCCGGTCCAGGTTGAGCCGGTCCAAGGTGGACCGGCATAACACATTGCCCCTTCACCTACCACCTAACATGACAAATTCTCAGGCTTTTCTGATAATTGTGTTTTCACTTCTAAGTTGTGTGACACTTGTCTATATATAGAAACATGAATATACAGACAATTTAATATAGCAGTTAAGCGTATCAACATATTGGCATGTATGACTGTATGAATCCTATGCTATGACTCATTGTATAATAAACGATAGAATTGTACATGAAGCGTCACATAATAAAATAACTGATTTATATGTAAAATGGTTGCATGTGTATTCAATCAACTTTCATATTATACTAAAATGCAAATCTTACCTCATCGGTGTGCAAACTCACCAATTCGGACACCTTGTGCCCGCTTGCATGTGTAAGGTACCTTCATCAACTCGAATTATTAATTGAATATCATCACATCTATTATTAGGCTCATATAGTTAATTCAATTACCAAACAGCATACCTTCCAAAATTTTACAACGCATACATGTCTATCGATACCCATTCACGATGCACTTCAATCTTCCTAGTCATCCACTCAGCAATGTTAACTAGAATCATTACATATACAAATACTACAAATTACCTAGAGGCATTAAAGAAATTTCTTACCTTAAAGCACCAACTAACTTTTCTTAACTCTCTTCTCTTCCTTCTTTCATTTTCTCTTCCTACCTACTTAATTTCTTCACCCTACTTCCCTGATTTCTTCTCCCTACTTTTTTGGCTTCCAAAATCCACCCTTGCCAAACATTTTCTTCACTCCCCCTTTTAACTGACCAACCCAACACCTACACTCAACCGAACCCACCCCCGAGCACCTTACCTCATTCGGCTAACTCCACGACCAGCTACAGCTTTAGATTTGGTCTCCCCTCATCTGCTCCAACATAAAATGGAAGACTTCCCTCCTTAGCATGGCTCGATTTAGGCAAAATCTAAATTAAAGGTCTTGAGATAGGATCTTTACCAACTTGCCCTACACCAAAACATTGCATGTAAGACATCTATCCCACCATCTACCCTTAGCTAATGTAAAAATCATATTTAAACAGTAAATCATTTTATAACTTAGGTAAAATACATAAGAGTTTTAATTTCCTTTCTTCCATTTTTTCGCAAATTGACCAATAGTTCTATATGTCGAACTACTCCAATCAACGAAGATAACGCAATGACATGCTTATTAATGACTTTTCATATAAGTTGAGATTTTGGGGTATAATTTAATTTTAAAAATATATATTTTCTATAAAAAAGTTTAGGTATTAAATTTTGGAGCATTCCCAATGCTCCAAATTTCCCTATACATGAATCATTGGATCTTAGAACCAAATTCTAAGTTATTCATCTCATTTGTTGGAACACAAAAAAAAATATCCTCTAGACATAAACATAAATCATAGTCTCCATCGTTTGCTTAGTCCCAAATTAGGAAAATGAATAATCCTCTTTGTACACAAAAAGTTCAAAGAACCTCCAATTAGCAACTCTTAAGTTGCATAGTCCTCTCCCTTTTTCTACCAGCCAAAATTGTAGAAAAACCCACAATTTTTCTTAGCTCTAATGCCATAGGAGATCCTCCAATATCTTTGCTTGGTGTCGTCCTGAGCTGATGTAGGCAAAGGGGGGTAAAATCAAACCCAAAAAAAAATTGGTTTTGACTTCCCTTGAGCTTACTAGCTCAATAAATTTTGAGCTGAAATTTAGCTCATTATGAGCCGGTTTTTAGTTCATTTATTGAACTAAGAGTTAGCTCATTATGAGCTATGTTTTTAGTTCACTTATTAATTTATTAGTAGCTCATTAATTTTGTCTCTTCTCCTTCCCCTTGTCTATTCGTTTCCCGTGGTTGGCTCTTGGGTTCCCGTGCCTTGGCTCCTTGGTTCCCACGACTGCCTCCTTGGTTCCCACGGCTGCCTCTTCGGGTTCCTGGCTGGGCTGCTTCCCGTGGGTTTTGGAGGGCTTTTCCGTGGCTTTGGTGCTTTGTTTCCTGGAGTTGACTATTGGCTTTTCATTTCCCTTATTTAATTAAGAATATGAAGGGTTTTTGGGGCTGTTTGTATTCCCCTCTCTTGTCTATAAATATAAGTTGTTTGTGGCTGTTTTAGTATGTTATGTGAATGATTTTTTGAGATGTAAACCTGCGGGTTTTGTTGGAAAAGCTTGCGAGCTTGTTCCATCACTTCTTCTTCTCTTCTTCGAGGAAGGCTTGCGAGCTTCTCCAGCCTTCGTCTTGGCTTCTAACCTCTTTCGTCTCTCCGCAAGTTTCATTCCACCTGTATCTTTCTTCTCAAGGAAAGCAACTTTAGGAGTTTATGTCTTTAATTTGTGTTTGTGTCGTTTGTAGGAGTCAAGTTTGTAAGTCTTTTATTTTATATAAGTAATGTTTGTTTTTGTTTAATTTGTTTAGTTTGTGAGTTTTCTAGATCCTAGAAAGAGTTATTTTTTGTGATAAAAAATTTGGAACACTCTCCCAAATTTTTGATTACATCATGAACTCATATAAAAGTCTCCAAATGACTTTTGGAAAGTGTAGGAGAGCATTAGCAAATCTTAGGGAATCAAAGCCCTAACTCCCTCTCATTCTCTTAACCTAAACTAGGAGAGTAAACTCTTCTCTTTAAACATCCAAAAGTTCAAAGAAACTCCTAGTGATTTTTAATCCAAATCTACATATCACCCTCTCACATTTTCTTAAACCAAGTTAGGTAGATGATCATACGTTAATGAACACAAAAATTCAATGATTGCTTCTTGACTTATAATCAATGATTGCTTCTTGACTTATAATTAATGATTGCTTCTTGACTTAAAATTCCTCTACTTCTCTTTTCTACGGATTCCAAAGGCCCTAGAAAACACTCACCTTAGCCCAAAAGCTATAGGTCCTCACTCTTTTTCTTCTCAACATCAAAGTTGTAGGAGATTCATATCCAATCAATTCATTTGTTGAGTCAAAATTAACAAGTAACTTCATCTCAAATATAGGAATCTAAATCATATATCTCTTTCATTCTCCTAACCCAAGTTAGGTTTTAGATGAATGAGTTCCTCTCTTTGGACATCCAAAAATCCAAAGAACTCTTATTGATTTGCAGTTCAAATCTACATATCATTCTCGTATGTTTGCTCTACCCATAGTTAGCAAACTAAGCTTCCATCAGTTAATACAAAATTCAATGATAAGTCCTATGGTTTGTAACCTCAAAGTTACAAATCATCTCCCTCATCTCTTGAGCCAAAATCAATTGGTGACCACTCTAACAACCATATATAAGACCCAAAATCCTTGCTCCTCCCATTTTCTTAACCCAAATTAAGCAAATGAATCCATTTCTTTGAATACAAAAATTCAAGTAGACCTCCTTGATTTGTAGCCCCAAAACTACAAATTTCACCCAACTTGTACATGCTTCAAAATCTTTAGAAGATTTCCAACCTTAGCCCAAAAGCTATAAACCTCATCTCATCTCCTCCAACTTCAAAGTTATAAGAGATTTCCCTCTCTTTAGCTTTAAAAGCTAAAGAAAATTCTCCAATCCCTTAACTCCAAAACTTTGGGTCTTTCATCTCATCTATTTTGATCCCCAATCAAATAGGTGGTCTCTCTACTTAGACCCAAACTCTAAATAACTTTTCACTTAACCAAAGCAAGTGATATCTCTTTCTATGGGCTCCAAAAATTCGG